GGGCACTGGCGGATCGGGAGTGCTCGCGGCTGCGGCGCTGGGCCTGCACTGCAGGGCACAGCTGGGCATCACCACCGGGCACGGCGCTCAGCCTGCCCAGGGCCACGTCTGACACACAACACCTGTCAGTTCCCCTCTGTGGTCCCTCAGTGCTGGTGCCCAGGGGTTCTCCAGTGTTCGTGGACACCAGAGTGTCGTGGTTTAACCCCAGCAGCAGCCAAGAACCACACACAGCCACTCACACACTGCCCCACCAGTGGGATGGGGGAGAGAATCACAAGGGGGAAAAAGCTAGAAAAGCTCATGGGTCGAGATAAAGACAGTTTAACAGGGAAAGCAAAAACTGCACACACAAGCAAAGCAAAACAGGAATGAATTCACTGCTTCCCAGGGGCAGGAGGTGTTCAGCACCTCCAGGAGAGCAGGGACCATCACCTGTGATGGTTCCTTGGGAAGACAAACACCATCACTCCAAACATCCTCCCCTTCCTCCCACTTCATGCACTGAGCATGATGTCCTGTGGTATGGAATGTCACTTTGGGTCACCTGTCCCAGCTGTGTCTCCTCCCAGTCTCCCATGCACCCCCAACCTCCTTGCCAGCCTGGCAGTGTGGGAGGCAGCAAAGGCCTTGGCTCTGTGTAGCTTAGCAATAACAAAAACATCTCTGGATCATCAACCCTGAGTTCTGCACAAATCCTAAATGTAGCCCCACACAAGCCACTGTGAAGAAAGTTAACTCCAGCCCAAACACTGAAGTTCTACTCTTCAATATTCAGCAAACTTTTATCCTTTCTCCAGCCTCCTTCCCCTCAGTGCTACTTCCTAAACCTTTATTCTAGTGATCCCATTCCTTCCTTCCCTGACCCAGCTCTGAGCCATCCCTGACACAGTTTCCAGTCAGTCTAGTGTTTTTCTGCTCAAACAATTAGCAGCAAAGGAGTTAAAAAGGCAAAGGCAAACTGAGGACAATACATGTAGTCACTCCAAAAGGAAGCACATGTGGTACCCTGGCAGCTGTGGGTCACACAAATCCTCCTCCTCATGCCTGTGTGGGATCATCATATACTAGACCAATCATGTGTGTTTTGAAAATGGAGTTATGCTGGTGAGGAGCAGCTGTGGCCAATTTCTCCTCTAGTGACCCTCAATTCTGACAAGAAGTGTCAGTAATTCTCACAGTAAGTGTCATCCTCTGTCACTTTTGCTGTCTCAGCTCTGTTGAGCACCCAAGACTACCCTGGTGTCCTTGCCAAGGTGCAGCACTAAGTTGATCCCCAGCAGCCCTTGGCTGCACGTGCATAAATATAAACCTGTAGTGGAGGCAGCAGAGCCCGTGGAACTCACCTGAGATCATGTGCAGACTCCTGGACTGGATGTTGTCCTCGGCTGGGTCGTAGTCGAACACTGAGCCAGGGTTGGTGCGCCACACGCGCAGACCTGGGGAGGAACGAGTGCCAACTCCTCTAGGGCTGAGCAGCACATGGAGGCAGGGCCTGCCCTGCCCTGGGAGTGTTCCAGGCCAGGCTGGATGGGGTTGGAGCAGCCTGGGCTGGTGGGAGGTGTCCCTGCCCATGGTGGGGTGGGAGCTTTGAGGTCCTTCCAGCTCAAACCAGCCTGGGATGCTTTTCAAACATAACATTCCATAAACTCTTATTTTTCCATTCTATAGCACAGATTAGGTTTTTTTTCTTATCATAGAATCATAGACTCAACCAGGATGGAAAAGACCTCCAAGATCATCAAGTCCAACCCTACTGTGGTCATCCAGTCTCAGCTTGAAAACCTCCAGGGATGGTGAATCCACCACCTCCCTGGGCAGCACATTCCAATGCCTGAGCACTCTCTCTGGAAAAAATCTCTT